TCATTGTTTGTTCCGGTTGGAAAATTTCAAGGTGTGAACTTCCGAAAGTCATCAAACTTATAAGTTATAAATTATTTGATAAAAATTCTAAACAGAGATCGAAAGCATTGATAATTCGGGTGAGTCAATAAGTCGGTCGTAATAATTATAATTGTAAATCAGACAGTCAGATAGTGCAAGTGGGTCAGTTGTTCAGTTGTTCAGTTCGTTAAGCCAGCCAGCCAGCCAGTTAATCAGATAGTTAACAAGTATATAAATGAATAAACAAACATCTCTCAGACTCTCGGCTGCTAGATTACGAGACCGTTATATCCCCTTTCCCCGATCACACCCGAGGTTATCATTTTAGGGATCGAGAGGACGCCAATGCAGTGAATCTGGTGCACACAATAGTGAAATTAACGTTCTGTGTTCAAAAGTAACTGCCTGAGGACGTGTTCAACCGCGCATAACAACGACAACGTAATTCATTTTCTAGTTTTCACCTGCTTCAGTTTTACCAGCCACGCTAGAGAAGAAGGCTGCAAGAAATGCCATCAAGTAGGCCGCCTTTCTTGATATCAACTCCATTGTGATCTTAGTTGAATCTCTTGACTTTGCAGACAAATTCTTTGATTCTTTGACTGATAATATTCTGTTCCGTCGCGTTCTAACAGTTTTAAGTTATGTGCATATTGAGTATTCAAGTGAATGCCTTTTGTTTTCACACGGTTTTGTTATTAATGATCTTTTTTAAGAGTATTCGTGTCACCGCTTGGTTTTATTGTAACACCTCAGCTGGGTAGGGAAGGTTATCTACCAGTTTTACAACAGCTGTTTCTGGAAGGTCCCTGATCTTTGTGAACTCGACTAACAGCAATTTTTTTAGCTTTCTCTAATGGATTTAAATCACTTTGAAATACAGGACGGTTGTTTATAGGTCCCAGGTCCTAACGGCAAAAGTGCCAACTTCGCTCCCAGTGTTCGTCGGGCGTTTAAAACCATGCAAGATGCGTTGCCACAATGTCATCTTGAATAATGACTCTTTAGCTTGGGTGGTTTGTTTTCCCATTAAAGACCACGTGATGATCCTCTTGAGAATTCCTGCTTTCAAATTTTTAAATGGT